AGCAGTTTTTGAGTATATTAAAGTGTTGGTTCTAGAAAGCTTTCCATGTATTATATGAAAATCAGCAGAAGCAAAATTATTTGAAGGTCTGATATCAACTAACAGAAAACACCAAGTGCTCCTTCCTAAACAAGCTATGCTGAATTCATTTACTCACATAAATATGAACTTAATAGAGATCTGTATTACCTGAGCCTAGAAGTAGGTACATGTATATGTGGGGTCATTGTGGAAGTAGACAATGATATAGAATTTTTGACCATGAATTTTTGGACCATTGTCCTAAACTCTTCCCACATCTTACACAAAGACTGATTTTTTTTTTTAAGTTTAGTTATTTTAGTTAAAGTTTCTCTTACATGATGAAGATAGATGTAGTTTAGAAAGATATATTACAGCAGAGAAAAATAATTATATAGAATTCCATAATCCACAAAAAGTACAGTAAATGTAGTATTTGACTATTTCTGATTAGATAGTACAATCTATTTTTCCCCATACTGATGAGACATAAGTCTAAATATCTAATATGGCTATTTTTCATGTACATGAACTAATATTTTGTGAGAAATTATTTAATAGACTGAATTTGAAAAGCAGAATGAAAATATAAACTATTTGCCATGAGTAATACACAGATAGCACTAATGGTTTCAAAATGAAGAGAATAGATACCAAGGTTTGCAAATATTTTCATCATGGTAAGAATATCATCTTTGGACCTAAATAGATTTTCATTAACAGGCATAAAAATTTCAATAATTTTACAATAGCTTTGACAGTTAAGGTTATGTTTATAAATAAATTAAATGATTGTATATGATTCTGTTATAAAATTGAAAATGGCCTTGCCTTATTTTTTTATGCCAAAAAAGAAACATTTCTAGGGTTAAGGTTCAATGGCTATACTAGACAACTTCAGTATTTCTTAGATTAATATTTTGGATGTACAAAATTTATTTTAAGTAGTGATTTTAAACCTATTTTAGTGAGGAAAAATATTATCGAAATGAAAACTTACTCAGTAAGCCAGCATATAAAACATATGAAAAAAGAACTGCTTTGGATAAAGCACTTTTTTGTGTGCCCTTTTGTTTCATTTTGGCTTTGAGAAAAGAAGGAAGGTCAGCATTTGCCAGCCTGCCAAATATGCATATCCACATTTATTATTAAAACAAATTCAAAGACCCTCCCATTATACAGGTTTCAATAAAAGTATCTTCCTATAGAAGTCTGAAATAAAGCATACTACTAAGAACTTCTCTTCACAAGTCTGTCATATTTTTTGTCCCAGGGCCTCATTGCAAGAATAATGCAATATCATTAAGATCTGAACATTTATTTGACTGGAGAAGATGAAAAGCCCATTTTATAATTCATAAGAAAGAGAAAAATGCTTGAGGTCAACAGAGAACATATTGAATAACAGCTAAAAAGGATTGAGTTGTCCTCTTTTATGTCAAAATATATGCAAAATTTGATACTGAAAAAGATAATATGAAGAATAAGGCAATTTTGTTAATGATAAAAATAGCATTTTGAAGCTTAGTATCCTGCTTAGATAAGGTGAAGAGAGAAAGAGAAAGAAAAAGGAGAAAAGGACAATAGGCTAGTAATTTATACTGTGAATAAAACAATTTCCAGATGATAAAGTTGTTAAATGTGTAAATATCTATGATAAGAAAAGCATAGAATGTAAGATATTTCAAATAGATGTGAAGAACCCCTTGCTAAAGTATAAAATCCAGAAACCAAAAATGAAAAGATTAAAATGAAATTAAACCTTGAATGAAAATAGCATAAACAACGTAAAAAGACAACACTTTGGTAGGTAAAATTTGCAAAATATTTATTTGCAATTGAATTTATTTACGTAGTATATGAAAGTCTCCACAAGTCTATAAGAAGAGAAGCATCAATCTGGGGAGAAAACAGGATAAAATGAATAACCAATAAGCAAAGGTATATAAATTATTGAAAAACATGTAGCAAAATGTTCAAATTGATGAATAATTAATGCCAACTTGAACTGAAATATAATTTATTTTCTCAAAATAGTAGGACATTATCTACTTGTATGTGTACATATATTGTATATGTACATATATAATATAAAATTAACTCAAGGTGATTCTCTGAAAAAGTTATAATTATGATTCCTTTTGCATAGATAACAAAAGTGAGTGAAAAAGAACACAGAAAGGTTAAGGAACTTCCCCCAAAGTCATATACTAGTCACTGTGGAAGCAAGAAGTCCGATTCCAATACCACTCCATGGTATTAACCTCTTCTTCACTTACTTTATTCCCTTGGATAGATCAATATCCTCAGGCCATGACCCATCTCTAAATAGTATATTTTAAAATAAAATTTAAAGAGTCTAGTGAAAAATGCTGCCTCTGAATATTCTGAGAAATCAACAACCCGTAACTCTCATTGCTACAGGAACATGCAGTGGATTAAGAAACACGGTGAGAGCCAGCAGTGGTGACACCCACTTATACTCCCAGCCAGGAGCTTCCCAAGTTGGAGGCCAGCTTGGGCAACTCAGTTTGACTGCCTCAAAATAAAATAAAAATCAAAGGGGGCAGGGAATGTAGCTCAGTGCTCCCTAAATTCAATCTCCACTACCACAAAAAAGAAAAATTAAAATTAAAAAAAAAACAAAAGCCTGTGCTGAGCGAATGAGAAACTTCTCTCTTCAACCGCTTTCCCAACCATCATCATGCTCGGGTTAGACAAATAAGAAAGTCATTCCAGCTTCCACAATATCAGCCAAGGAAAATCATGCTCAGGACCAGCTGCTGACAGCATGCCCTTTAGTTTCCAGCCAGGATGCCAAGCCCCAGCTGTTCTGTCAAGCCTCCTTTTACAGTCTGTTGACAAAGATGAGGCCTGGTTAATTTTCCAAACAGTCAATAGAGGCTGAAAAGGACTCACCTGCACACACCAAAAAGACTTCTAGGCATGAAAAAAAAATGATATTGAAACAATATCTTTTTTTAGGATCAGAACCCATTGGGGTGATTCCAAACTGGAACAGCAAAGGGAAAAAAAAAGCAAAGATCTACTCCTTTGATTCACAACTTACTGTTATTGGCTAGAGATGAAAGATTATCCTCCTGATTGTGAACATCGAAAGGGAAGGAGAAAATTTTAAAATTGCAATGTTAAAGAAGATACAGGGAGCAGAGAAACTCTTGGGATAAGTTAGACATGGAAACAGGGATTTACATTCTGAAGTAAAATTTGGAAATCAGGTTTGACAAATTCAATGTGGGAATAAGGGGAGTGTCCATGAATCTCCTCTTGCTATAAACTGTCTGCCACGCAGCCCTTGGGGCTTCTTCTGTCTGGACTCTCCCACTGGGATTCCAAATTTTGATGCTGAAATACGTATTCTATTATCTTCAAATTTTAAAGCAAATGTAACCATGTTACAGTAACATTCAATTTTCTTTCAGCTAATAATTTACTGAGTTCTACAATTTCTCTTAATTTCAGTAGTTATTTTCACTGGACTTCTTTCTGTATAAATTTGAAAAAAAAAATGCTTTCCCTACCAGTTTCTGTCTCACTTTTTTTTTTTTTTTTTTTTGGTACTGGGGATCGAACTCAGGTCCCTCTGTTTGCGCAGCAGGCAGTGAAAACACTGAGCTAAATCCCCGGTCCTCTGTATCACATTTTAACAATTATCTCTAGTGACTTTGTTTTGTTTTCTTTTGGAATAATATTTTTCCATTAATATTAATATCCTGGGTCAAATTTGATGGAACTTATTTAAGACAATTTTGTTACTTAATTCACTTTCTGTTCACTGAAAATAAAATTGTATTTATTGTAAATTGTAATTGTTTTAATAATTTTTAGTCTAATTTTTTACTATTTTACATTTTACCAACAGGACTAATTTTATAAAATATATTTGAGCATTTCAGTTTTAGCCATGCTCTTGTCTATTCCTCTACCTATCTTTCTAATGATTCATTCTGTGAAGTAGTTTATTGTTGGTCTTTGTATCAATATGATAATTTCGAAAAGAACCTTAAATATTAAGAGTTCAGCACGGCTGAAGCAAAGAGAAAGTTGAAATAGTGAATTCACAAAATCCCCTCATTGTTCATTCATTTTTCTCTCTGTATCCATGTCAACTGAATTTCTTTCTGTAGCAAAGATACCTTAAATATGTAACTTTTCTGCAAAAGGAGACTTCTTTACTTGCTATAATTGATTATGAATGGGAATTTTAAATTTCATCAGTGTAAATACAAGATAGTAAGAATGGTTAATTAATGAGGAAAACATCCTGAACATTCTTTATTCCAATTAGATATTTTTGCAATATATATTTATTACCTAAAGATGTTACCTTATATATAACCTTCTTTGTGTTTCTGCATGTTTATTTTCTTTGCATATCATTAATAAGTTTCCTACCCTCTGAAGGTCTGAATTTTTGTTTCTGGTATTAAATTAGCCCAAGAAAGCTGTAGCTGATGACTCTGAAAGCCTGAAAGCATGTAGCACCCATAAAGATTTGTTTTCCACATTTTTCTACAAATACAGTGACTATGAATGAGGAAGGTACACATGACCTCATGTATCACATTTTTCAAGGCAAATGCCTCTGTGGCTGCAATTATGTCATCATGAAATCATGTGCCACATTCTAAAATAAACTCATTGCCATATGAATTGTTATCATACTAAGTTATTTTTGTAGATGTCTTTTTAACAGCTTTGGAAGTGTCTTCTAAATTTCCCACAATACAAAAACAAAAAATTCTTGTCTCATCTTGTACAGACAAATACTTGCTGATATATTCAGAAATCACCACTGTTGTTCTGTATTGTACAGTACACACACGTGTGTGTGAGTTATACACATTCACATATGTGTGCACATACACACAGGTTTTGCTCAGTCTTCCAAAACAGTTTTTTTTACTTCCACGAAAACACCAAGAGGGTTTTCCCCAATGTCACAGCTCGGGACTCACCTGTGGACGTGGGTGTCCGGTGACCAGACAAGTCAATTCTAGGGTTTCTCCTTCCCGGATTGTGTAGACTCTTTCAGAGTAGCGTTCCTCCTCAATGTTACAGGCCAAGCCGGAGTGCACAATGCGAACGGTGGGGGGAGCTGTCCAGTCAGGAAGAAAAGAGACAAAATACATAAAAAGCTAAGTAAATTCCTTCCCATGAGCCATCTTGATTGCACGAGTAATTCTTACCAACTGCACCATAGTCTGATCCATCAGTTTTAATGCTTTGAGTTTCCCCAAGAGATCAAAAACTCTACAGGGCACAAAGCTTAAAATGAATTTAGTATTCACCAACACATTCTTAAAATGCAAAGGGGAACAGAGTAATGGGAAAAAATGATGCCTATAGAAATCACCACGGGAAAATTTGATTGTTAAAATCTGAGAAGTTCTCTTCCTTTCTGAAATCAAACTTTAATATAGTAAGGAATGTGTACCCAAAACAGGTAATGCCAAAGAAAGAAGACTATGGAAAGTGAAAAAGGAATTTGAATTAAAGACATTGGCATTTATAAAAGTCCTCAGGTGCAAGAAAGAAGCTAAGGAGTAAGAAAGTTTGGCTCTTGGGAGGTGAACACCTACTTCATCTCATTATGTACAGGCTCCAATTTAGATACAAAAAAAAAGATAATCACTGAATTAATACTTTGATGATGGGAGTAAATCACTGATGTCTAAAATATCTAATTCAAGGGGAACTCAGCTTTCATGGAGCTAAATTCTTAAACATATTTTTTCTTCTTCTTCAGTATATAAAGGCCAATAAGACTTGACTACCACTCCTTGACTTGTATATCACTGAAAAGCAGCAACATAAAAAAAATTCTACAAATCATGAAAAATTGTTAGCTAATAAGTATTCTATCTGCTATCGTGTAGATTACCGACACTATTATAAACTGACTGGAGATCATCCCCATGTATGAACACAATATTTTTATTTGTAATCCATTTGGGAATGGAAGATAAAATATTATTTTAATTAAATGAGCATGAAGACTATACGTGTGTATATATATGTGTGTGTGTGTGTGTGTGTGTGTGTATACATATATATATGCAAATGACAATGGTCTAAAGAATTTCCTGACAAAAATTTTCAATCTAAATAGCAGTAATCTTAATAGAACCTGCAATTTTCTAAAAATAAATGCTGGAATGTTTTTAGTGGTTTTTTTAGCATTCAAAAAACCGTGAATCCTATAAGACTGGAAATGAATTTAGTGATTTTCTGAAGAAGCAAAAAAAAAGATTATAAAGTCATCTTTATGGGAAAATTCCTTCTTCGAAAATCTGTGTTTTGATATCACAATAGAATAGATAGTTTTGATTATGTAAACTCTGCATTAGATAACATAACTGCATAGGCCACCCATAAAGCAGGATAATTTAAAAGGGCATATTTTATTATCTTTCTCAATTTCAGTCAGAAAAAAGATGGAGAAGCCCACTTCTGAATAACAAATAATTGCTTATCTCCATTTCTTTATGGCCAAGTACAGTTCTGTTCTTTAACCTTAAAATCCGAGACCTGCTCTCCAATATCCATTATCAAATGAGAGAAAAGTTTTCAAACATAGGGTAAGAATTAAAAGTGTTTCTACTAAAATATTCCTTACATTTAATATGCATAATAAACACCCCCCAAAAACCTGATTTAACTAAACTATGAAGTAAATACAGATAAACTGACACATCTATAAAAACTACAGAATTTTGCATTTTTACCAAACACTCCAAGTAATTACAGTGGCACTGATACTTAGACTAGATTATTAGAAATATTTTTCAAGTCTTATAAATATTTGTTAAAAAAAAGAAAAAAATGCCCTAATGGATAAAATGTTTTTTCCCTTTGACATTTCTAAGTAACTAAACTTCACACTATACATCATTTCACTGGTTTGGAATATTAAATGATGCTTGAATCAAATGTTTACTTGGTCTACAAAATCAATTTATCAAAATCTTTCTACAATGTCTTTGGATACTGTCTAGACATCATAATAATTTTTTAGGTTTTATGACATTAGAAAATTTTATTTTTAGTGCTTCTCTCTGTGCTCTGATGTTTCACACGATGTTTTCTACAAATCATTTCTGACAGTGATCAAATTTAGACTTCAATTTAGATAAGTATTACTAGTGAGGTACTTATTTTAAGGTATCTGTCTTGTGTAATTATATACATGCTACAGAATTTAAACAACTGATGACAATAAATAAATGCTTACAAAACAAAAATAGAAAAAATTAAATAGAAGATACAGAACTTTATCTTGAAATAAATTTCAACCTAGAAATAGCTTAATACGTAATGGCCCGCATGTTTATTAATATATCTAATTATACAGTTACATGGCATCTTTTCCAGACTAATTTCTACCTGTTATTTTTGTTTTAACTTCAAATCAGTGCATAGTATTGTTATTTTTAAGATATATGTTTCAAATGCATCATTATGCAAATAAGTAGCTTTATTTAAACCACTTAAATTATACAGTAGGCAAATTGTGACATTTATAAGGGTTAATTTTCTGCTATTTTCTTCTATATTTTAACACATTCTTGGAAAAGGTAATTGGTTACATACTTCATCATCATGACGTTACCACCTATTCCTGCAGGTGGATGAAATATTCCACAAACTTTCATTCTAAACGCATATTCATTAAAATAGATGCTTAGTACTTTAGCTGCTCAGTTATAAGTTAAGCATTTTGGAAGATGTCATTAATTCTTCCCTCTGCATAACGCAGACCCAAGAGGGCTTTAGATCTCATCTAAGTCAATGCTCTCACTTCCAGATTAGACCAAGAAAGCTTGAGTACATCAAGACACCGTCACAGTCTTCTAGCTATCTACAGCCAAATGAACCAAAAATCACTTTGTTCTTTTCACAACTTGGTGGTGTCTATTAGACTATGTCTGTCACTAGCTCCTTTTTAAAATCCACCTCGACTAGACTAAAGGAAGTAGACCACCATAATTAGATGAACAACATTAGTAGTATAATTGTTCCAAACTTAACCAATATAGGATTGTCTCTATTCACCATCCTGCCTTCAGACCCTGTCAAATCCATAATATCTTTCAACTGTCAAAACTGTATTTTGAGGTTTCCCATTTTCATCATATTTCTTGCCTGAGAACAAGTAAAGTCTCCCCATGACTTTTCACAGAGTCCCAATCCCTTTGAGTGGTTGGCAATTATGTCCTCTCTTAAGGGGAGCATGTAATTGACTAACCAACCTGAACCCCCATTTCTCTGTAATGTCATCAATGTATCCTCAGCAAGAAGGAGCCTGGAGACTTGAAGTGTCTTTGGTCATGATGTTCCCCTATCCAGAATTCCCAGATTGAAGTTTGCATCCCTCATCCTCATATCTTCTTGCATTATTAAATGATGGTTCTTTCTTTTTTCCCAGGAGACATGTATTGCCTCGTGATTCTCCTTTTTCTTAACACCCTATCTTGATGTTAAAGACCTCAGTGCCATCATGAACATCATATTTCACATCTGTTCCACAGGACATAATTCAGAACACATAGTAGCTATTTATTTAATAACCAACAAATAATTTCTGTTGTAGCAAATATCACTAACCGTATAACAATATCAACCTCTTTTAGGAAATTATCGTCTATTATGGCACTGAATTTACTTACTTTAAATATAAATGTAATTTACTATATTATATCAGAAGCAAGGCAAACTTTATCCCCTGCTTTGTTGGAAAAAAGCTCCAATTCATCTTTTGAAACTGGACCAAGTGTTATGTTCTTCTTTGCTCTGTACAGTCAGCAATGAATTAAAATGGTGAAATATTGCATAAGGCCTCTACTCATCCAAATTTTCTTGAAATAAACCAAATCTCATGACTTTCCTGACATTAATCATATCAGCTACCTTAATTTGAGTATGTTGGCTTTGGGCTCAAGGAGTCACTTAAAAGGGCAAAAAAAGGTGCTTTTATCTTGTTAGCATACACTTTTGAAAGTTAAACCAAATTCTGTCTGCATCCTATTGGAGAAAGAACACAAATAAATTATTCTTCAATGGCAACAACCAGGTGCATTTTTATCCTTTTATGTCATATAAAGAATTCAAATATGTATTTATTGAGCAACTGCTACAGCAGACATGAGGCTATTCAAGAAGATTAATGTCATGAGCAGTATCTTCTAAGGGCTTACTGCTTATTGGATTTGTCCTATTCATTAAAAATAAAAATCACAGTTGAACAGAATAGGTACTCTAACAGAAAGAAACAAAAAATATATGAAGACAAAGCAGAGGGGAAATAAATCCAGGAGAATCCAACAGGTTTCTCAAAGTCAGTGACATTTAACCTAAGTTTGGAAAAATTCTTGTGAGAAGAAAGGGAAGTGGAAGGGCATTCCAAAGAGAGAAAATAGTTTTCCTAAGGATGTCTGTAAGACACTGGCTCTTGTGTTCCTAAAGTAATAACATTAAAATGTGGCCTATGTCGTGTATAATTTACTCCAAGCCTCCATGGTGGTACCATGTGCTGTTCTGTTTCCAGGCATAGGAGAGACACTGTACAGGGCCTGAGGATGGATATGAAGGGAGAGATGTATTTTAGGGGTCTTGTCTGACAGTCTTGTCTGACAACTGAATGTAGAGGCGAGGGAGGAGTTCAGATGACTTTAAAGTTTGTACCTTGCTTAACTACGTGAACAAGATACCTTCTTGGTCACTATGGAGCTCACATCACTCACAGTGGGGAGCAGCTCAAGAGGAAGGCAACTCTGGCCACATTGCGTACCACTTGTCAGAGCGAGCACTTTAAAGACATTTTTTCCAGTAACAGGTACAGTTCCCAAAGGTTGTGCTCTTAGTAGACCAACCATAATTGTTTTGGTTTTAGGAGTTTTCTCTGCTGTCAGACCCCCAAGAGCAAGCTGTGTGTTTAGTAAATTGCTCAAATAACTATTGTCTGGGAATTCCAGTTGCCACTACAATGTTGGTATTCTTCTACACTATATCAATGCAACTTATGTTCTTAGAGCCAATAACAGATCTCTTGGGATGAACATTATGGACTATGTCTTAGAAATTTCAGTGGCGAGATCA